ACCTCCGGCTGAAGCAGCAGGTGGAGATGAGGCAGAGGCTCTTTTTGGAGAGCTGCTTGCCCTGGACGGTGCAGCAAGCAAGGAGTCCACAAAACCTTGATGGTGCTTAGCGTCTTACCCTCCCGCATGCTGTTGCACACGCCTTCCAAAGCTCCTGTGCTTTGGTGGTTCAGAAGTGCGTGAAGTTATTATTGTCGTAGACCCTGTCGCCGGCTCATATTCGAACGCGGATTTTGGATCGTTTCAGAAAGAAGGCATTGAAATCAGTTGCGAACCCACACCTTGTGTTCCACCCTGTTTCCTCGTACATTCCTTCCTTTCCTTGGTGGATGAAATTGGAGCGTGCAAAAAGGCTTGACAGGTTTCCAGTGCTTTCTGTTTTTCAGCCAGCGTGTTTCCATCCAGTGTGTGGTGCCTCTCACGACAGACACATTCATGCTATCATTTTTCTCGTGTATGGGTCGAGTACAGCAGTTCTTTGTTGGCACAGCTAGTGGTATGTTGGGTGACTGCAAGAAAGGCACCGCCAACCCCCTACCCCCCTATGCACCACCCCGCACCACCTTGTGTGGTGCAAGGCGTGTGTATCAAAATCGTTTCTTTAAGCCGCGGTGGGGTGGTTGCGAATAGGTATGTGTTGCAAAATAATCTCCAACTGGTTGCAAGTCAGCGCTTTCCGAGATGTTGTGCGGAGTCTGTGTTCCAAAATGTTTGTGTTCGTACATGATCCGTTTCATTCGTTCCTACGTGTGCCGGGTGCTGTTGCCCAAGCGCTTTTCAAAATCTGAGAACAGCATGGTCCAAATTTTAGAGGACAAAGCTGGTGCCGTGAGCTATTCGTTTGACATGCGACACTGAACCAACGAATTGGTGGTTTCAGGAGGATTATTTTGATGCATCGGGCAATTGGGACCTAGATGGGGTGATGGACGACCTGCGCTTGGCCAAAGAGAAGGCCGAAATTGCGACAACGCCTGTGCCAAAAAATCACTCTTGCATGTAGTGTCAATGCAATGCCAACATCATAAGCTCGCTGCGTCCGTGAAGGTGTCCTGAGTTCTTCAAGAAACACGCAGCAACACTTGCACTTGCAATGTTAACTGAGTCAAAGCACAATCAAAGAAGACAGGCAAAAGCAAACTACCTGTATTTGTGGGACAGACGAGAACTCAGAGCATGTCTCCAAAAGATGGTTGTTTTGCCCCAAGGCAACAACGGGGGTCCTTACGGTAGGTTTTAAGGCCGGGTTCTCATCGGTGGTTGTCATCGGCGTGGGTGCGTAATTCGCTGCTATTTACAGTACATTCATTCACCTCGAGATCTTCGAAGCGCATTTCGACTGCGCAGGCAGGCAGAAAATGTTGGGCTGGCGTGGGTGCTCTTCTCGATTGTGCTCTCGTTGTGGTGCCGTGTGCATTTTCGGACTTGATTGATGGTCAGTTTTCGTGGCAGGCGCAAGGGCAGCCCGTGTTTTGTGTGGTCCAAAGTCGACTTTTCGTGGCGGGCGCAGGAGATCGGAGCGGTGTTACTTCGTTGTGCAGATACCTGGAAACTCTAAAAGCCGATATATTCTAAGATTCTAAGTAAAGGGCATTGGGCTTTGGAAAACTTGATGTTCTAAGTACATGTCTGCAAGTATAGACCTTACACCTTACACACTATATATAGGGAAAATGAAGAGCCACGGCAGGGTTATCACATGTCGGAACAACAGGCTGAAGTGCTCGAAATTCAACTTGTGTTCAGGCATCTGCTCCGCCATCAGCTCCGCTGCCAGCAGCAGAACCTGCAACATCTCTGGCTGAAGCAGCAGGTGGAGATGAGGCAGAGGCTCTTTTTGTAGAGCTGCTGGCCCTGGACGGTGCAGCAAGCAAGGAGTCCATGTTGTATGAAGTGGGAGTTCTTCTCGCTGTCAAATGCGAACCTAGCAGAAATTGCTTTTCAGTCACAACTCGTGAGCAGAAACTGTAATTTAGATGATTCAGGAGGATTACTTCGATTCTGCTTCTGGCACTTGGGACATAGATGGACTGATGGATGACCTGGGCCTCGCCAAAGCAGCAAAGGCCCCGGGGCGTTTGTGACAGAATTCTGAATACTGTAGCCTTGAAATGAAATAGTCAACCTTCAGGCCGGTGCTCCGGCATCAGCTCCTTTGCCGGCAGCAGAACCTGCAAAACCTCCGGCTGAAGCAGCAGGTGGAGATGAGGCAGAGGTTCTTTTAGTGCAGCTGCTGGCCTTGGATGGGGAAGCTAGCAAGGAGCCTCTGCTGTATAGTTAGAGATTGACCCTTGACCCGCCAAAGTTCTTATGAGGCAAGATGTGCGCAATATTTGTAAACTGGAGCTGCAGGAAGATTACTTCGATGCTGCTTCTGGTGTCTGGGACATGGATGGGCTGCAGGACGACCTACGGCTTGCCAAGGTCTTATGGGAAGACAGAGCCTTTTTTTGTCTTACTGTGTTGTTGAGAGCTTGCGTACTGTACTTCAGAAAGTGATTTAATTGCATACGCAATCTATTTTGACATGCTTGTTTCTTAGTTGTTGCGAGGGGAAGGTGCGTGCAACTACGTCAGATCCCAGTAATCAAGCAGATTCCCTACTTGCTGAGCTGCGAAGTATTGATAGTACGATCTCCAAGGAAACTCATGTTGTGCAAGTGTGCGGCATTGAATGAATGGAAGATGTGCACACAAGTCCAAATGCCACATTCTCAATGAAGAATGCAGGAGGACTACTTCGACGCCGTGACGGGGGCTTGGGATATGGAGGGACTTCAAGACGACTTGAGACTAGCGCAGGCAACGCCTGTTTCCATGCAGGTTGCAGTGTTCGATGTTTGCGCACTTCGTTTGTATCGATTGCAAATGTGATCGATTTTGCGTTTTAGTTACTACTGTGATTGCCCGTACAAATCAAAACAACATTCTTTGTGAGGCTTCTCTTGGAGCAGTCGAAGATGGTGAAGATGGTACTGGGCTCCTGGCAGAGTTGCGCGTTTTCGATGACTCGTTTACCAAGGACGAACCCTTCATTCGTGGAAGATGCTCTTCGAATCAACTGAATCTGTTCTTTCTTGACTTGCTTTATGTTTCCTCTCTATCTTTGTCCTGAAAATGAAGTGTCCTGTATTTCACAGGAGGATTACTTTGACGCAGACACCGGACAGTGGGACATTGAAGGCCTTCAGGATGATCTGCGCTTGGCCAAGGACGATCAGTGTTGTGAACAAATTTGGGACACAGTTGTCAAGTGCCCTGCAACGCTTTTGTTGAAGTTGTCAAAGCGTTGACGTTTGCCTTTGTGCCAGGAACGAGCAAAAAAGAAGCTGGAGGTCGGACATAACATAGCCTCAGAGCTGTTCCATCGAAAGGATCAATCGAAACTCTGTTCATTGAATACTTGTCATTATCCTTTGTTTGTGAATGTTTCTTAGCGCAAGGCAAGCCATGCCCATCCTGGATCAAGTGGCCAGGCTGGCTTCTCTCATTGCGACAAGGCTCAGCACCACCAAAGTTTGTTCAGGCAGAGAATGGGGAGCTCCTGTTTCAGCGTGTGAGGAGCCTGTCACCAGCAGCTCTCCAGGCTGGTGAGACCCCTAGATTGATCTAGATCCCAGCTCTAGTTGGATGAATCCCTCTCATTCAAACATCCTCATCATTTTCACACAGGAGGACTACATGGTCAATGGACAGTGGGACTTGGATGCGCTGAAAGTAGAAGCTTGAAGCACAAAATTGGTCCCACAGAATAGGACTGTGTGAAGGTCTGAATCCTGATTGAAATCAATGGTCCTTTGACTCGACCTCCTTTCGCGCCGAATCCTAGGACTTAGAACTGCAAGAATCCTTGCGGCCATGAAAGACGATTTCACTGAGGCAAAGTGAAGCGCCCAAAAGCTGTGATCGTTTCTTTTTTTCCAACTTGTGAATATTTTGAAAGTGCACGAGGAGTTGTTGTTCTTTTTTTGAAGGCCAAAGTGGCCAAAGGCTCGCCAATTTTTTTTTGTACACATGCAACTATGCAAACCATGCAAAGTAGTTAGTAGGAGTACAATTATTGCGTTGGGTCCTTCGAGTCGTGGTTGTTGGAAGCCTTAAACATCTTGCTCCTGAGAGATATCAATACTCATGACTGATGACAATGAAAGCCCTATAATTTGGATGGGCTGAAAGATGACCTTCACCTTCACATTGGTGATTTAAACTATACTGAGGTGCGCCACCCTGCTGCCAGAGTTGCCTTGCTCCCTGAAGGATAGAATCTCAAGTCATGTTTGTTTCCGGGCTAGGACCGGCGAACCAAGATGACAGGTTTAGCGCCACTTAGCGCAAGCTCCGAAGAGTGTGAAGAAAGAATCCAATGCGCAGGATTGCTGGGGATTACACCAAGCAAGCTTTTTGAACCGGTCTCGAGATGCAACCTCTGAAAGAGTTGCGGTGATATGTTGTTTAGACTGTTCTATGCTAACCTTTGTGAAGCCAAGATGGCTACGACATAGCTTGGGAAGGGCTACTCTTGACTTTTCTTGGGAAGGAGGGGTTCGCACGGTTCGATCTCTTGACAAATCCATAACTCCCCTTTGTTTTGATCGACCAAGAATAGTTATATAACTTTCTTTAGACTCTCTGCCCCTTGTTACCAATGAGCCACAGTAGTAATAACGGTCCATCGGAAAGATATGTCTCCCCTTGGGCTGAAAATTCTTTGTGGGGCTGTGCGATCACGAGGTTGGGAGCCTGGACTCATGATAGTGAATGCAGCAAGCTGCAAAAGACTCCTGAAGCGGCCTGTGTTCTGTGTGGGTGGTGTAACAGCTAGGAGACCCAAGAAAAGTTGTGGATTGCCACATCAACTTTTACATGTTCCTTTCAGCTCCACTTTCTTGTACACCCTCTTCAAGTTGCTCCCAATTACTGAGGTGCGAGGAGAAATGAGACCGGTCACCCAGAAGCCACCTAGCTTGCCAAACGCATGACAAGGGCTTTGTGGGTGTGTTCAGTGTTTTTCCTGTCAACAGCAACATGTCTCCAGATTGACGACTTGATGGAGCTTGAAATTGTTCACACGCTTTCCCGAGACATACACATTGAAAGCCTGACATGCAGCAACATATCAGCCTCCTGCGTTAGAATTCTCATGGTGCATTGCAAGAACTTCCCTGGCCTGACTCTGCTTGTTTGACTTTTCAGTCGAAACTTCAAAGCCAAGGCTTTTCTGTGAGAGGCCCGATGGCCACTTGGGCAGAATCTCTTTCGCATGTGCATCACGAACAGGCTGACCCTCTGAATGTTTTGAGGCAAGATTGTTCGAGGTATTCAAAAACAAAGAGGGGTAGTTTCCTGGCGCTTTATTCTATTTTATTAATATTATTCCGGTGTCTAATCAAGGTGTTGCACCGGGGCGTCCGGCTAATTCGCTGCTATTTACAGTACTGTACATTCATGCCTCTGGAAATCTTCGAAGTGCATTTCGACTGCGCAGGCTCGCAAAATCTGGTGGGCCGTGGTGAGTGCTTGTCGCGACTGCGCTCTCGTTGTGGTGCCGCGCGCGTTTTCGGGCATGATGGTCACTTTTCGTGGCAGGCGCAAGGGAAACCTCGTCTTTTGGTGGTCCAAGGCCGACTTGTCGTGACAGGTGACACGTGTCAGGGATCGGAGTGGCTTGACTTCGATGTGGAGATTTCAGGCAGGTGCAGCACTTGGGATCTTGGACGTGCTCTCAATATCGTGACAGGTGCAGCGAACCGTGACTTTTCTACATGTGGCTCGTTTTCAGAAATCGTGGCAGGTGCAGCACTTTGTGAACCTTGAAGTGCAGATTTCGTGGCAGGTGCAGTACTTTGTGGACCTCGAAGTGCAGGTTTCGTGGCAGGGACAGCACTTTGTGGACCTCGAAGTGCAGACGTGGCAGGCGCAGCACTTTGCGAACCTCGAAGCAGATTTCATGGCAGGCGCAGCTCTTTGTGCTCTCAGATGCTCGCTCACTCCCACTCTCACTCTCAATCATACTCACACTCACACACGCTCAGGGTCACGCTCACACTCACTCTCTCATTTTCTCATTCTCTTATTCACTTCTCACTCCCTCTGACTCACTCTCACTCACACTCTCACTGTCACTCTCACTCGCACTCTCTCTCACCCTCACTCTCAGTCCCACTCTCACTCTCTCACTCTGTCACTGTCACTCTCTCACTGTCACTCTCTCACTCTTTCACTCTCTCTCTCTCTCTCACACTGTCTCTCTCTCTCCCTCACACAGTCTTTCTCTCTCTCTCTCACTCGCACTCGCGCCTGCACCCGCACCCTCACGCTCATGCTCACTCTCACTCTCACCCCCACTTCTCACTCCCACTCCCACTCCCACTCTCACTCTCACTGTCACTCTCACTCTCACACTCACTGCGCTCTCACTCTCACTCTCATTCACTCTCACTCCTCACTCTCACTCTCACACACACACACACCCACACACCACGACCACCACCATCACCACGATCCCCACCTTCATCGCCACCATCACCTGGACCCCAATCAGGTAGATCTTTGGACTTTCTGCTGCTACACCTCTAGACCTCTGCCTCACACACACACTGTTTGGGGTCTCTTGCTGATATCTTTTTAAAATGAGTCTCGTACGCGTATATATGTATATATATATATATCATATGTATGTATATATACATATATATATATCTATATCTATATATACACACACATTCTTGTGTTCGTCCACATTCACATACTCGCAACAGGCCTTTGGGACACGTGATTCACTTGTAAAGTGCTCTATTTAAACAAGCTCTCAAAGGCTATGATCGGAGAATTGTCTGCAGAAATCGAGACAAACAAACACCCAGAGCCGTGAGAAGTGGCATGGATTGACAATCTGTGTGTTGCACACATTACAAACAACAGTTATATCATAAACTTTTGACGGGGGACATGTGCTGGTTGGTGATGCTGGGAGAAGCCGAAGACAAGACGATCTTTCTGAATGAGGTTTTTGTGACTGCCTGCTTGACGAGTTGAAGCGGTCTTTTGGGAAGAGACGATTTCAGCGACTATGCGAGCATTGTGGCAGCAATGAGTTGGAACTGACAACTGTTCTTTCTGAAACAAACGACCCATATTGAAACATGCATCTATGAATGCATTTGTGAGTTGGGACAAAACTACTTAGTAACTACTTGTTTCTTGCTTCCTTAAAGAACCTTGAGTGTTCCTGTCACCACCTAGTCTAGATCCTAGATCTATCTATCAACTCCCCGCCTTCACATCCCCATCCCTTCACCGACTTCCTCTTTTCAGAGATGTAGAAAAACTGAACGAATCATCGCAAACCTTGCTCTCCAGGCGAGCTCGGTTGCTCCAGCTTCCAGTCGCTGAGCTCAAGCGCAAGCTCCCACATGGACCTGTTCCGTTGGAGAAGGACAAACATGGGATGTCAGAGAACAACATTAAATATAGATCCATGAACAACACTTTTTTAGCGCCAAGGGTTCTCGCTTAATTCTGGGTGTATGGGGTAGAGCTGTGTTTCGGTGACGTTGACGTTGCTTTCATGTTTGCAACCCTCCGCAACCGTTTGCAGCAAGCGGATGAATGTGAAGAAAAGGCCCTCCCGTTGGGGCAAGCTTTTGGAGATGATCTTGGATGGGAGCATGAAGTGTCAGATTCCTGTGGAATAGCGCAGAAACGTAACGTGTTCAAGTGTGAAGGACGATTTTGCTGAGCAGATGCAGTGTTCCGTGAGGTCAGCACTGCGTCGCCCTTCCATTGAGTTGGGTAGTCTTTTGGAGGCGTTGAATGTCACTGTGCTACTGTGCCATCGGGATTTGCTTTTGAAGCGCCTCCTTCGAAGCGGTATTCTCCTGTCAAGTCTCGGCCAAATCTGCGATTTTGAGGGATCTGGGTGAAACAGCAAAGGGTTGGACAAATATTCCAAGCGTGTGGTGTGGTGCAAGTTTTGCTAGACATGCCAAGGTGTGGCATTGTTACTTTTTGTGGCAGACGCAGTGCTTTGTACGCGTTGGAGGTGCTAGGATGCAGTTTGTGTGGCAGGGGCGGGGAGTCGTGAGGTTGCGACGTTTGGCCAGGTGACTGTCGCTGGCGTTGGAGGGGCTTGGATTGCGAACGTGCTTCACAAGGCTCAAGGCTGCGTTATGTGTTCGCTTTGCTGAGGCTTTCTCCTGCAAGAGTGTCCAACGAGAGTGTCCCGCACGAATGTCCTGCAGGAATGGCCTACAAGAGTGTCCCATAAAATTGCGCAGAGTGCCCTAACAGTGTCGCAAAAGAGTGTCAAGCAAAAGTGGCACGCAAACGTGTCGGACAAGCGTGCCCCGTGCTCCACTGGAGTGTCCCACAAGAGATTCCTACAAGGTTGCGCGGCAACAGTCCTACAAGAGTGTCACATAAGAGTCCCAAACGAAAATGTCGCACCAAGTTTTCTACAAGAGTGTCTTAGAAGAGTGTCGCCCCAGAGAAATCCTGATGGTCCTTCCGGTTGTCCATGAAATGTGTGGCCCTGCAGGCAGAGCTGGTGGAAGCCATTCTTGACGTTCTCTTGGCAGAACTGTTGCAGTTGTACTTGTACGCATTATGTGCGTATAGACCATCAGCTGCTTTAGCAGCTTCAGGTCCAGTGCATGGCTTCTGGTTTGCTTGGGCCTGTGATGTCCGAGGCTTCAAGCCCAACAGCGCCGACTCAGCCCAGGCACAAGCGGCGCAAGAGAGAAAGCAGACTGCTATTAGCCGATCCCAGTCGCGGAGCTTTTTAAGTCCTTTGCCGTCTAATGTGTGTCTACAGAGAAAAAGTGAGGCCGAGGGTGGCCATGTTTTAACTTGAATGCTTGAAAAATGCTTGGTGAAGGAGAGGGCCTGCTGTGCAGCAGCCAGGGACTTCTGAAAGAAGATGCGCAGGCCATGCAGATTGCAGGGGTCAGACTTCTTGAGTTCTTTAGTATTGCCAGGTCTTACTCACGGGGAGGTGCAGGCGTTGCCTCTAGCAGAGCTCCAGAGGAGGCCACGCAGAAGTGGGTGGAAGGCATGAAAACAGTGCCAACGATTTGTCAGGCTCAGATCAGTGGGTGTTTCCTACGACCATTGTCTTGAACGCCAAGAGCTGGAGGACTTGAAAGAGAGCAAAGCGGAACCATGAAAGCGCTCACAAGTGCGAATACATCTTTCATAAAGATGAAGCTCACTTTGGTTCAACAAAAATGTACATACATGTATATATATATATATATATGTATCGTAGACATGAGTGGAGAGGTTGCCCGACTAATAGACACTAATGTTGCAGACTCCAAGTTTGCGAAACACTTTCCCCGTGCCCTTTTGACCGTTCCATGTGCAAAGCATGGGCCACAACACTGCGCACGGTGCATTTCTCCCACACTGCCCAACCATTGTGACAGACTTTGCTGATGGCGTTTCTATATTGCCACTTCTAAGGTCGGATGTCGGGCTCCGTTGCTGTTCCCGCTTCTAGCCCTAGTGCTGCTCTCGTTCCTTCCTCCGATCTACTATTATTTTTGCACACTGATCGCATCCTTTCTGAGGGCCCTAAGCTGGTTCGCGCGCATTGTCTTGCTATGTGGCACTCGCTTGCGCCCCGAAGAGAAAATTGTTAAAAAGCAAATTGGTCCGCAGCGACCCG